ACTGCAGGGTTTCTGTTCATGGCATGTCCATACCCCCATGCCAGGGTAAGACAATGTGGTCCAGGGTAGTGCTGACCTTTSTCCTTATGAAGCACCTCAGCTGACCTTAACATGGCTCATATCTGCCACAGCAGATTCTGCACCTCTACCAACAAGCAAGGGGTCCCCTTTGTGGCACCCGGTGTCCTGAGGAGCTTCTAYAGGCTCTCCTGTATGCCAAGCATGCTCAGATGCACCATAATCCACTGGACAAAACCCTGAGTTCAGATTAGTTGAAAGCCACAATATCAACTGCTTGCTTGCAGRTATAGTGCAGGAAAAGGTCTGCATGAAGTTCCTTCACACCTCTGCACAGTGGAGTGGATATGAAGTAAATAGAATTTAACTCCTCAAGGTGAGCTTCTGGTTAACTACYACTTCTATTTTTTAATTGTTTTAGTTATTTTAATAATGTAGGTTTAGTTTGCTATGGAAGAAGAAGAATTAATGGTTTATTCATACAGGTATTRTGTCAAACAGCATAATGAATCTGTAACCAATGTTTAAGATTAAATAGCTCGCTATTGTATAAACTGTTACCTCATTRTTTTATATATATGTCTAAGGGTGTATGTCTGTGTACACCTACACAAACACATTCCAAATATAATCACCCAACAAATCTTTATTTTGATTACAAAATACAGGGAAAGCTTTAAAAATCTAACAAGTATTATCACATAAATTTTAGAAAAATTACATATAACAGAGCAACATGCCAAATAGCTGTCTTAACAGTTTATATTTGGCACTCAGATGATGAGTACCTTGTACTTAATAGTCATASGTGTCACCTAAACAGAATGCTCTTCAGATATTTTAAACTGTGTAAAACTCAACACACCCTTTCYAACTTACAGCTTTTTTCCAAACTATGTGACAAATGTCTATACAGTTTAAGTAAAATTAACAGCTTGCATCTAATTTGCAGATTCATCATACACAAAGCTATTCTGAAAATTCTTAAACACTGCTTTTSCCTTCATACATAACAGGTGAACATACACATTGTAATCACCACCAAAAATATTTTTATAGGATTTGAATCCCTCCCAGAGGACTTTAAAAAGAATTCAGGATCTGAGTTTTACATCCTCACTTTGAAAAAATCTAATGTTCCCTGCCATTTATGATGTTTTAATTTAAATAATCAAGAATTATATTAATTAAAAATCACATGTAGAAGAGTTGCAACATATAGCTGGACATGACCTGCAGGATCATTAAAGGGAATTAAAGTAAAAGCTGGAGTATAATCAACACACTGCACAGATTGGTAAGTCAGTGCTAGATATTTCTCTGAAAGAGAAGTGGTTCCTACTGGGATGTTATTTAATATTATAGAACAGATTCTAACCAGCTGCTCCTTTTATATCCAGGGAAACAGAAAAAAACAGACTGGAGATGTCTTACTRTTACTTTTGCAAGCTGTTACTTTGAACAAGCTACTTACAATACAGAATACAGCTATTGATTCTTTAATGAGTGGAGTACACAGCACAGTATTTGATCTTGCATGCAAGGCATTTCTTGTAATGGAAAGTTATTCTACAAGAGAGTAAAAAATTAAAAAAAAACTTTTAACAAGAAAAATCAACAGCACACAGATGCAGAGGTAAATACCAAAAAATAAATAAACAAATAATACCATTCCTGGTATAYTTGTGGAGAAACAGACCTGTGTTATTACACTAACTTCATTAGTCATGTAAATCATAGCCAGGTGAAAAGAACAATTTGGGTTTTTCCCATTCAGTGASAGTCTCTGTATTAAACCAACTGAAAGTCAAACTTCTTCAAATGGARCAGCAAACCCCATGCCGATCTATAACAGCAAATCTTGATTTCCAAAGCCAAAAAAGTTTCAATTGTATATATTCAAAATGCTATTGGCTAYCATAATTTTCCATACATCAAAGTTTATGAATTTTATTACTACATTGCATGTTACAGTCTTACACTCTTAACAATCCAATACAGAATTTGACTATGATAGTCAGAAGCTGAATATTGTCATAAGTATCCAGTGTCCCTGCTTGACAGTTAACCACTCACTTGACAGTTGACCAAAAATTTTCTAAGGAAACCCAAACCCTTCCAGTTTTAATTAAAAGACTGTATTTAGCATTCTTCCCAAGCAAGGCTATAAAGAATCTTGTYAAATAGTTATACTAATCAGATAAAAATGTGCATAAATTGACTGTTTCCTCTCTTAAAAACACTGCTGCTAACAGCAACACCKGCTTTCACCTGGAGAAGAGCTGGAAAACCACCTGATAAAATACTAATTCTCAATACTTTTATGTATTTACAAGATATTAAATGGTATTAAAAATGGCCAAGTACTACACTAATGTACCTCCTCCTGGAAGGACTGAGGGGTTTGTTTCCACTTTTCTATCACAGTRAATCTCATGGAGAGTGCTACATGCTTCAGTGCTGGATACACATTAGTCCTTTGGCAATTTTCCTGGAACTGCACATTAGAGAGGCTCATATAGCCTAGAGATAGATTTGTGATTAACTGATATTTCTTATTAAAATCCTAGGTTGGACTGGCTGAATGTTGACAGAAAACAGATTTGTACCTAATGCAATGGAGGAGATATTATTTAAATATTTAAACTGTAGTTAGAACTGTGTGTTTCATCTGCAAACCGTTCAGTAGTTTGTTTTATGAGATTATGGGTTGTTCATTGGCATATCAGGTACAAACCAGAGAGGCCAAATTGCTGAGTGACATCCTTGTCTTATTTCTCAGGGACAGTTCTTACTCTCAGGGGATTTGAGCAAAAAGTTAAGTTTAGCATATTTTGGGGGTATGCTGCTCCATTTCAGTGTGTGCAAATATATCATCTTCCCTCTTCTCTGGTTCCATAGAGAAGTGACATGGGGATAGTGCATGTTTACAGATGTTCTCACAGTAAAAGTTGTTTGGAGGAAAATATTCAGCTTTTCAAGCAGGTTATGTGTGTATATTACCCGTCATTAAGTACAAACCCCAACAATAGCAGCATACAATTGCCATTCAATTAAATGAAGTATCAGGTGTCATTCAAAGGACAAGATCCAGCATAGAACATGACAAGTTGAATGTGTTGAGATATCCTAGTGAAAAGCTGGTATATCAATTCGATTTCAGCTCAGGGATGATGAAGGTACTTTCTAATGCTTTTGTGCAGGGGTGAAAAACGAGTTAGTAGAAGATGGCAAGAACTTTTTCCAAGCACCAAAACATGGTGCTAGGTACTAGCATGGTACTACTAAGGCACTAATACAATGCTAGTATTCTCTTAGTAATAAGATTTTATTACTAYTTCAGTGTTTTGTAACTATTTTACCTTTCATGAGACTTTAAAATTAAATGTAATTTCAAAAAGTTTACTACTCCACTGTGGGTTTACATTCTGTGTACATCCAAAACAACTTCCTATACATTCCCTCATTAAGAACCTAGGGAATGCTAATAAATAAATTAAATACAAAATAGACATGTTTTCCTTCTCCTTCAACAGTGAGAAGTTAAAAAAAAATATAACATTTTCTGTTGCTGATTAAACAGTATATACACATATTCAAATCCACTTTCAAAATACATTGGCTGAGTAGAGAACTGCAYAGCTGAGTCACACACCAAGACAGAAGTCAGTAAAAATTACAGCTGTCCATTGCAGCTGTGCTATCCATTATGCTGGGATTTAACAACAGAAAATAGAAATCCCACTGGAGGCCAGAAARCTAAAGAGAAGAATGGACTATAAAGCAAGAAAGTATGTTGCAGTTGCACTTTTGCATGACATCCATCCATCTGAGATATCTAAGTAATAGACAGGCAAATTATGGCATTTTAATAAAATTCTTAAAACACACTGCTGAATGTCATTGCAGTTTTTAAGTATACAGTTAACAAGAACATCACATTCATGTGACTTTTTGTATRTGTCTAATTTTAACGTAGAGATGCYGGGCTGGTTTTTCATTCTGAAACTTATCATCTTTGAGATGCACAGTGCCAATAGGTGTCTTAACAAGGGCTAGAACTGAGTCTTGTTACATGAAACTGAAGAGGCTGGTGGGTGTATCTGTCCCATGTGTCACCCATCAGGCAAGAAGGGAGGAACAAGAATGTGTCCTTTGAGGATATAAGGAAGAGAAGGTTTTTCAGTTTTGTGTGATGGGATATGCATGTCCCCAGGGATATAACCTACAAATAGAAGCACCCTAAAAGAAAGGTGATGCATAGATGAAAAGTTATATGCCTGCAGTTTAACTTAACCTTAGTTAGTTATTTTTGTGAATGGGTATATGCTCAAATTAAAAACAGCTAATATATTAGCACAATTTTTTCCAGTAGGAAATTAAGGTGGAACCTAAGTGCTGACTGCAATTTCAAGCTCCCTAGGAGACAGCAGTTCACTTGGTGCAGCCAGAGAGGTACTTCTAATTTTAGGGGCCTAATCTGACYCTTTTATTCCCCTTAATCTGYTGGAGRTTCTTTCATTCCCATSTCACTAACAAAATTGAYMTTTAAGTAAAAAAATCCCACCACCAATCTCCCAAAATCTCTCCTTGTACCATTACAAAATAGCACTTAGAGATTGGAGGAATTCAGACAGAACACCGGGTTTCCTGTGCTGTCCTGGTGTTTGGGGTCTGGCTAAACTCCTAGTGAAATTCATGGGATTGACACTGGCTGTCAGCTGTCATCACAGGCCTTCACAACAGGAACTTCACAACACTTCCCATGGGATGACCAGCACAGGGAGTGTCCTCATGGGGAAGAAGAAAACTAMAAATTGTTAAGTAGTTGAATGGAAGTCAGTTTCCCCTACCAAATCTCTGGGTCTGTGTCAGGTTCTCAAAATCACATTCATGTTATATGGCTGATTCCACAAGGTCTCAGCCTGTCCTCTGAATAATCCCAGATGGCTTGTGCCTGAAACACCCCAAAAAAACCGAACCTGAGCGCTGTAAAATGGACTGGCCACCAAATAMACACAGGTTTCCTTTCAGCTGACCAGCTGCCTGGGCAAGGTTTTGGCCCTGAAGGACCATGCCGTAGGGGAAAGTGGATCCCCAAAGAAACAGCCCTTAGCACAATGGTATTTCTTGGGACATTTCCAGGATGTCTCCCAACATCACCAAGCTCTAGTGATTAATTCTGCTTACATGGTTGCAATTTCTTCGCTACAATTTTTGTTACTTACCTCTTGTCCTATCCCAAGGTTGTTTTGTATTATTTTATTGTGGATAGTGGCATTCATGACTGAATGCAGCCACATGACACAGGACATGCCAGGCCACTTCGGCACCTTTTTAGGGGTGGCCTAGGCAGGGTAATTGATTCAATTGCTATCTGACAATTGCCCGATTGAGTGACAGATCATAACTACTTTTTAACAAACAAAAAAAAAAATTTAAAATAATTTGAGTTATTCTACTTGGGGTTTTTTTTTTTTTTTTTTTTTTTTGTCAAAATACATAGGAATACCTAAATGCTAAGAAAACTACTCCAATCGAGGAAGAGATATATAAATATTTCCATTTCAAAAAGACTTCACAGCTTAAGGACCTGCTGTTAGTCCTTATTTTTATATAATTCATCGATTCTCTTTTCAAAAATCATAGTATGATTTCAGCATGACTGCAGAACCTCGAAAATTGTATTTTTGTTTCTATAGAACAAAAGCTTTTCCCAGTATTCACCCTTTTCCATTTATCTGAAAATGCATTGTACAGAGAATTCAGTCACTAYGAACTGTGGCATAATAAAGCTCTTCTGTGTTTTTTGAAAAGTAGCTGGAACTTGTAACTTTCTGAAAATAAGTTCACTGTTGTATTCTGTATAACCTCAGCACCAAATCCCAGTCCCAGCTGCCCATCCATGCCCAGAGCTGAATTTTTCCTTTAATTTAAAAGCTGAGAGAGTTCTAACACATCAGCCTCTTGGTCATAAAACAGACTCTCAGAGTATCTGCACATGGAAGGCTCTTCATGTGAGTCAACACATGCCAACACATGACAGTAGAGGACTCATGCACCCAAACACTTCTTAAGCAAGTGAAAAGTAAAATCTGTGTTTGTATCTTCCCTTCCTCCTCCATGGAAAGAGAGAAAAAAAAAGAAAAAATACTAAAAACCACAATAAATTGGGGAAAAAAATAAACAAACCAACAAAAAAAAAAGCAAGCCAGGAGTTACATGTTGGGGTTTTTTTAATTTTTTTTTTTTTTTTTTTTTTTTGCAACTAAAAATCACAGGAAAATGTAGAGTGCTGGGGTTTGTAATTTAATTGTCAGTATGCGTGCAACCATATTTTAAAATATTCTGGATTTTCAGGCAGGTAAATTCATAATGTGAATATCACATTAATATTGTAGGATATGATTCTGCAAAAGAGTTATGCATGYATTAAACTTTACATATACAATGAGCCCCATTGAATTCAGGAGCTGGCTTGAAAGAGTACTGCAAATGATACAGTTCCAAAAATAATGAACTGCATTATTCATTACATGTATAAGAAAATAGCACAGTATATACATATGTATGCTTGCGTACATTTTTATTATAGACAAGAGCTCTGGTTAAGTTTGCCTAATATTTTTTATTATAATACATTGGTTTAAGTTGCTTACGTCTTTGCCAGGCTGTAATTTTTTCGCTGAAATTTTCCAGGCTAGAGGTTTGCCTCAGATTAAATTTTATTTTTTAACTTTTAACAAAAGCAGTTTCTGTCTTTCCAAAAGCAGCACATTAGGAAAACATGTTGTTTGTGTAAAAAGAAAAAAAAAGTTAAAATCCTTTACTGAGAAGCTCCTATATCTGGGTTAGTGAAGCAAGAATGGGAAGTATAAAAGGATAAAGAGAAAGCATAAAATAYAAAAGTTTCCCTAATATCTAAAATATGGTTGTACTGTGACTGAAAAATCACTTCTCAAAATTCTGATTACTAATGTAATTCACAGATATGCTATGCCTGTTTGATTTTTTTCTCTGYATCTATATTTCTCTCTGTTCCTTTATATTACAGATGGTCCCTTCCTCTCCTTTGCACCAACTCTCATGCTTGGTGCAGTCAGGTGGCACTCACAGTCAAGTGACTTTAGGGAGCTGCTATGGCAGGAAAATAACCAGCATTTAAAGTAATTAAGCTTCTATGGACCTGCACTTTGAAAGATGTGATGCAACTGAAGCTGGGACGGGAAATGAAGCTGGGACGGGAGAGATAAAACAACTATTTAATCTAAAAGAGAATATTGATATGACCCCCAAAAAATAGCAGTAGGCAATCATGGAGAAATGTAAACTTGAAATTACCAAAGAGTTTTTAAGCATTATTATTTTGTAYTCCAAAATAACTTTCTGGCAGCAGTACTGAGAAAACAATCCTAAACAATGGAGCTTGACCAATTTAATGAAGGAATTATATGATATGGTGGCCTGTGTACCAYATGACCAGACTGGCTGCATTTCTCTGTTACACGCCCTCAGTAGTGGCATTCAGAGCCAAACTCCCTGGTCACAAAAGCAGCGTCCCTTGAGCACCAGCACGATCTGTCGATGCCCTCTAGAGCACAGAGAACCCGTGTGGGCTCAGCAGCAGGTGCAGCTYAGCCTGGTGCCAGCTGCAGTGCCCGTAGGTGTGTGCAGGCAGCTGCAGCCCAGCACAGCAGCCTCTCGTGCTGAGAAAGCCACGGGTTACTGAGAGTGTCACATTTGTGCCCTCCTTGCACTTGCCACTCAAGTGTCTGCTACTGCTGCTAATGATGCAGGAGGACCCTCTCAGCATCACATCAGAAACTCAAAAGTTAGAAAACAACTCTGTTATTGTTGCTTTTTCAACTCTAAATTGAGGTCTTGTCCTTGCATGCAACTTTTAATTACATGAACTCTGTTTATTTTTTCCACTGGCGTGGGAAAGAATCATTTAAAAACATTCTGCTGATATACTATATACATCCTGACTTACATGTGGAAGTGGTTACCACCTGTGAAACTCATTTCAACACATTTCTCAGGCTGCCACGAAGGTAACTCTCTACTCCAGTTCCTCATTTCACTGCATGCTATAGTTCATGCATTCCCTTAGGACACAATTTTTATTTTTAGAGAAGCCTCTATTTGCTGACTGTTGTGAAAGGAACACTCAGGAGATGCGATTAGCAGTCACTTGTTTCAGTAAACATTGAATGTAACATATGCCTCTCAAGTAATGTGTATCCAAACATACAATTTACAAATAATTAACATCATGTTAATTAGTCACATTAATTTATGCCACTTTGTGGAATTATTTCCTCAGAGTCTTTAGGAATGCTGCCAGCAGTTTGAGCCAAAGAGTGTGAAAATTTGCTTGAAGTAACTGTTGTGACTGGCTGTGACACACAGCTTGAACAACAAGCGACGAGGGGCCACAGAGGCTGATTGAAGAGCGGGAAGGCKCCGAGGTGGATTGGTGCTGACAGCACCGGGCACGGGCAGAGCTGGGGAGCGCTCCCCAAGCACGGCCGGCGCACACCTCGCGCTTCCTTGAGTCCTGCCCCACGCCTCTCTCCAAAAAACACACGCAGGAGATGCTCAGCAAAGTCCTGACGAATCCTCGTAATTGCTGAGAGTTATTTCAAATTATGAATCTTAGAAAAAAAAAAGCTGTTGAAACCAAACATAACTTCGGAACTGATAAATGCCAAAATTAAGCTTTAACTTCTCCAAAACAAAAGAGAAGCCATTTGGAATACTGGCACAATCTCAAAAAAATCAGGCACGGCTATTCTTAAATGTGTGAGAATGGAGCTACTAAACACAGCTGTACATTTCAGTAATACAATATGAAACGTGCCTTGTATGGAAGAAGAAAAAGAGTTGCTGTCTGAGAATTGAGATGGTGAGGCCAAACACACTAAGAAACAAAAGAAGCTACCTGCCATCACTTGTTTTGTAATCAATAGCTCTGCTCCCATAAGTAATGATATATTAAAACTATGAAACATTTGTACTGCAATTGCAACTGTTTAATTTTCARGAAAAACAAAATGACTCCAGATCAGTAATTGACTGGGCAAAGAATAGCATCACCAATTTCTCCTAATGCACCTGAATTCCAAATTATGGGGATATAAGAAAACATCCCAACTCGCACTAAAAATTCATTACATCTCTACAAAGAAAAGAGCAGACAGAAAAAAACCTCAAATGATAGATCCATGCAGCATTCTAGGAAGGCCACTCCAGGACTGATAATTAAACACCCAGAGAGGCTGGCAGATATGGGCCCTGAGATATGCAGCAAGAATCTTTTTTTTATTAATCCTTTTTCTTGTGCCAAGGACCATGAGCCATGATGTTAATACAAACTGACTTATGCAGACTCTGAAAAAACTACAGCATTGTCCCAGACTTGGGGTCTCARAGCAGGGAAAATCCCCAGTGGTGCCTGTCTTGCCTTACTGCWGCACGAGCACTTTTGCTCTCCCTCAGACAGACACAACACTTCAGTGAATGACTTTAACTAGTAGCTGAGAAATACAGATTTTCTGCTGCTGCTATTTGCATACCTCTTCAGAAGCAGCTGCTGGGACTTTAAACAGAAATGATCAAGGTATGGACCTGATCTATTGCCCACTGAAGCCCTGGACAAAATCCTCTTTTTAAATGATCCACATTCCAGTTAGCACTGTGTACTTGTATATATGAGCATATCAGCAAACCACTGCCTCTGCTTCTTAAAAAGCTGGATGGAAAGTCCTGCATTCACAGTGCACATTGAATGCCAGCTGAGATACAGATGACACAGAAAGTTTTGAAGCTCTCTATCACCTTTTATACATTTGTCCCACATACAGCTATAGACAAAGGTATCCATGTGCACATCACTGCATGTGGAACAAGTAAAGAATGAGTTTCCCCAGTCCAGCAAAGATAGTTTCCCAGAAATATGGGAATATTTCTAGGTTGTTTAGCCTGACCAATTTAGCTAGCTACAGAAATAAAGAAGTAAGTAAACAAATACTATATAATACACATTATACATAATTTTATATAAATGTATATAT